AATAATTGATTATCCCGCGGCCCCACCCCCAAGAAAAAAACAATAATCAAAAAAAAAAAACAAAAACAATAACTCTGGCTTGACCTTTTTGTATAAGATAGCTGAAAGCCTTGTGTGCTAATTGACAAGCTTCTAAGCCACCAGCCCCGCCTTATCTGGGTGCAATCTGACAAGACATCTTCTAGCCACTCTCTTCACTAAAATTTAGTTATTTTTACAATTGTTGGTTTCAAACGTACATTCATCCCACGATTAAGAGATCGGAGTCCATCGTCAGCAACGTCTAAACAGGCCCGCCTCAAACAAGGCCACAAAATCCATATGCCCAAAGCAACTTACAAAGTTGAACAGAAAAGCCACAATTTCTGCAAAAATTATTTGCGGGTGCATATACTTCCTTTCTATCCTAAAAATGATTAATATTAAAGTTTGTCCATAAAAATTTAACCTGAACGCTCCTTTACCATTGGCATCCACACCAACCTGCACTTCCTGATCAATATAAGGAGTAGAATATTTAGAATTCTTAACAATTTTATAAATATCTTCCTTCTCAATAATGAATCCGCCGCTTGGTTTCATTTAAAAATTTCGAATTACTATCTAAAAATTCACAAATTGACAAAACAATAAAAAATAAAATTTTGATAATTTATTACTTTATTATTTTGCTAAAAAATCATTTCTCTTCATGCTCAAAATACATTTATGATATTGATTGGAAAAAAGAAAAGCGAAAGGAACCTAAAAAAAGAAACTAAAATAGATGACAATTAAAAAATTTATTTTCTTTTATTAAATAAGCTGTTACAAGCCGATTGGGTTAGACCGCCGCCCACTTAAAAACAACAGCAAGTTCGATACACACACGTGCACGAGAATTTTTTTTAAAAAAATTAGCCAAAACCTATTCCATTTACAATCATTTTTGAGTCTTTTTGCATTTTTGAGTTTTTGCGTTTTGTCCTATTGACTTTTTGAAATTGTACGTTTCGCATTTACCATTTCAAAAAGTTATCACTTTATTGAGTTGATCTTTTGTCCCTACCACCGGATTCGTCTTTGACCTTTCCCTCCATCAACTGCTCCCGCCTCTCCTTAACTACTGCTCCCCTATTAGATTGTTGGTTGATATTAATCAATCAATAATTTAATAGGGGAAAGATAGTATTGAAAAACTCAATATTAAACAAGTCGCTTGATGTTGTTTACCATATGAATGTTTTATCTTTATTAAGTAAAGAAACAGAAGGGCCAAAAAATCGAAATTTTGCGACGGTCGAAACAATGTTTTAAAAATGTTTTTCCTCGATTAGGGTTGCAAACATAATGTGATTTGAAGTTATGGCTGTGAAAATTTTCTACTCATAACTAGAGTTTGCAGGATCTGGATCCCGGTCGGGATCAGGCAGGATTATCCCGGGTTTTTTGAATCCCGATTTTTCAGATCCCGAGACCGAAAGGTGAATCGCGATCCCGGTTTTGGATAATCCCGAGCCGGGATCCGGGATCGGGATGTGGATCAGATCCCGATGCAAATACCGATTTTATAAATTGACTAGAAGTCTATGAAAAAAGTTAGCAGAGAGGGGCAGGCTTGAAATAAGAAAAATTTTCGCATTCGGCGCAGAAAAGGGAAGAAATTTGGCTTCTTGACTTCCAAAATTCTCAAAATTTTTGCCTGCGGCGCAGTTGTTTTTAGTAAATACCGATCCCGATCTTTTAATCCCGATCCCGATTCGGGATCGGGATCTCCATTCCAAATCCCGATCCCGATTTCGGCCAATCCCGATCCCGTATCAGGATCCGAGATCGGGATCACCATTCCAAAATCTCGATCCCGGGTGTTTCGCTAAATCCCGATACAGGCCAAATCTACTCAAAACATAATTTCGTTAAAGAATAATTTAATCATGCTGATTTCAACGACATCAACATCATCGTGTTCATTCGTAAGAATTTTCAGTTACACATTCAATCCTTGAAGCATCTTAATTTTTCTTAAGATTCTCAAAAATGTAAACTCTGTTTTTAAATGTTAGATCAAGTTCAACTTAATTTTGTTCGTTTAGTTGAAAATTTGAAATAATGTAGATATCGCTTCACAAAAAAATTTGGGAAGTCTAAATTAAATAATGTGAAAGTGCCATAATCTAAATAATTTACTTTTTACATTCTAAACATTTTTTAAACATTTTGAATAAATTATCTTATGGATAAAGTTTTTAAAAAAATAAATATGTATACATGGTGCGGCAAAAGTTCCCGTACTTTTCTTAAGCATAAAATTTATAACAAATATTTTCTTAAATTTTATAAAATCTATAAAAAAGTGTTCATTACTATCTAAAGAAAAGAAAAATTATAATAAATGTCCAAATATATATTCCCTTCGCCAAGATATACGCGTTCAACCGCTAACTGAATTTGCCTACTATGGTCGTATTATATTGGAAAACATAATAATAAAAAGGAATACAAGCTGTTAGATAATATATTAGAGAGCTACCAAAATATACGCGATTTAGGAATTATAATAGATAAAGGTCTTAGTTTTGATGATCACATTAATAAGATAATAAGAAATGCATATTTTAAAATATATCAATTATTAAGAATACTTAAAACAAGAGATAGTGATACTTTATTAAGAGCATATAAAGCATATATTCGACCACAACTTGAATATGCAACAGAAGTCTGGAATCCTACAAAAAAAGGATTGATAAACGAAATTGAAAAAGTTCAAAAACATTTTACTCGTAGATTATTTAAAATTATAGGGCTAACCCCAACCAAGTATAAGGAACGATTACTTTATCTTAATTTAAAAGAATTGAAACACAGAAGGAATGTTTCTGATTTAGTTATGGCACATAAAATAATAACGAATCAAACGCATTTAAAGCCGGAAAAATATTTCAGCTTTGCAAAAATGGCTAAGAGAAAAATTTACTGTTTGCATCATAGAAAACTAAGTAGAAAAACCTATAATAACTTTTTTACAAGAATTATACCTACATGGAACAAGCTACCTAATGATATTTTAAAAATATACAAGTCAAAAAAATTCAGGGAAAATGTCAGCCTAAAATTGTAAATAGGGTTTTGGATCTCAACTCAATAAATTTCTAAATAGATGCCATAATTATATTTTTAAAATTTACAAACATAAAATAGCTTAACCAAAATTTTGTTATTTTATATTCAGTAAATCTTAAAAATATAATTTTAGGTAGATAGTTAGAAGTTTTTTCTTTATTTTTTTTATTATTTATTGACAAATTAATTTTTTTTATTTTCACATTTTTTATTTGTAATTTACATATGGACATTTATATTTATTTTTTATAATCACAATAAGTGTAATTTTTTACCTTGTGATTTACTCAATAAAATTAAAATTAAATTAAATATACACTAATTAGAGAAAAGCATTATCGACTTAAATGTTTAAAAAACTAATTGATTAAACATATACACATGTACATATATGTATGTAGAAATAATTGATTTACTTGACAATAATTTTTAAACAAATTTAAAATATTGTTTGGCAAACAAAAAAATTGTTTCTATTTTTGTTGTTTGATTTGCTATCCATTCGTTAAGAATACATAATCCTATTCAGGATTAATATTTAAATTTCAAAAAACGTTATTATTATTGGAACATTTGTCTAGATAAAGTAAAGAAAATTAGAAATATGGTTCCGTGACTTTTCTTCTCTAGCTTAGAGAGCTTAGAGATCTTTCTCTAGCTTAGAGATATTTTATCCTTCCTAAAATCTTTAAAATCTCAGGGTATCCAATATATTACAAGAATATATTATTTATTTATTTCAATTACAAATATATTTTAAAATCACAATTTTGGGCATGAGAGCGAACAATGGCTTTTACTGAAGAATAATGGAAAACTCTGCCAGTTGTTTTAATAACTGAGAAATAGATGGGTTTTAGCCCATCGTGTTGGCATTTCTTGGAGTTCGTGTGCGGCTTTACGGAGAGCCTTGCTGAAGGTCCGTACACGTTGTTGTAGTTGTGTCCGCTGCTTGCCATTATAGCGGTACTACTGTGTAATTCCGCTAATGATGTACAGGACTTGATCAAATGTCCTTTCTGATTACATACAAAACAGCTGTTGTTAGGACGACGAGAACGAATCGGTCCTACAATATTCTACTTATATTCTCCTACTTATATTCTACTCCTACTTATATTCTATTTATAGGTCCTACTTATATTCTATTTATTTATTTAAAAAAATATTTATATATAAAAAAATATTTATATATATTATAGGTCCTACTTATATTCTATTTATTTATTTAAAAAAATATTTACAGTATTGCCGCAGTTCCAACACATGCTCGGCTGCCCCCGTTTAAAAATTACTCTTGCATCCGGATGAGTAAATGAACATGAGTTAGCGCTATGAGATTTAGTCCACTGCCCGCAGGGAAAACACAGCTTAGAACCAACAACACATACGTTGCCCTCACTGTCCTTGCGACCAGAGCCCCCGCCATTGCTACAGACTCTTGTCTATATAAAAAAATTTTGTTTCGTTAAAGATACAAACCTGATGATCATCGCTCCCACATTGTAAACAATTGCCCACGCTTGGATACTTTTCGACGGGTTCCCTCATTCCGTAAGGTCTGATTGCTTCAGCAAGACTTAAATGTTTTTCATGTTCTGACGGGTCCGCGCTCAACACCCAAATGCGATACCCATCGGTAGAAACTTGGTTCATTGCTAAATAAATTTTTTATGATTAAATAATTGATTATCCCGCGGCCCCACCCCCAAGAAAAAAACAATAATCAAAAAAAAAAAACAAAAACAAAAACAATAACTCTGGCTTGACCTTTTTGTATAAGATAGCTGAAAGCCTTGTGTGCTAATTGACAAGCTTCTAAGCCACCAGCCCCGCCTTATCTGGGTGCAATCTGACAAGACATCTTCTAGCCACTCTCTTCACTAAAATTTAGTTATTTTTACAATTGTTGGTTTCAAACGTACATTCATCCCACGATTAAGAGATCGGAGTCCATCGTCAGCAACGTCTAAACAGGCCCGCCTCAAACAAGGCCACAAAATCCATATGCCCAAAGCAACTTACAAAGTTGAACAGAAAAGCCACAATTTCTGCAAAAATTATTTGCGGGTGCATATACTTCCTTTCTATCCTAAAAATGATTAATATTAAAGTTTGTCCATAAAAATTTAACCTGAACGCTCCTTTACCATTGGCATCCACACCAACCTGCACTTCCTGATCAATATAAGGAGTAGAATATTTAGAATTCTTAACAATTTTATAAATATCTTCCTTCTCAATAATGAATCCGCCGCTTGGTTTCATTTAAAAATTTCGAATTACTATCTAAAAATTCACAAATTGACAAAACAATAAAAAATAAAATTTTGATAATTTATTACTTTATTATTTTGCTAAAAAATCATTTCTCTTCATGCTCAAAATACATTTATGATATTGATTGGAAAAAAGAAAAGCGAAAGGAACCTAAAAAAAGAAACTAAAATAGATGACAATTAAAAAATTTATTTTCTTTTATTAAATAAGCTGTTACAAGCCGATTGGGTTAGACCGCCGCCCACTTAAAAACAACAGCAAGTTCGATACACACACGTGCACGAGAATTTTTTTTAAAAAAATTAGCCAAAACCTATTCCATTTACAATCATTTTTGAGTCTTTTTGCATTTTTGAGTTTTTGCGTTTTGTCCTATTGACTTTTTGAAATTGTACGTTTCGCATTTACCATTTCAAAAAGTTATCACTTTATTGAGTTGATCTTTTGTCCCTACCACCGGATTCGTCTTTGACCTTTCCCTCCATCAACTGCTCCCGCCTCTCCTTAACTACTGCTCCCCTATTAGATTGTTGGTTGATATTAATCAATCAATAATTTAATAGGGGAAAGATAGTATTGAAAAACTCAATATTAAACAAGTCGCTTGATGTTGTTTACCATATGAATGTTTTATCTTTATTAAGTAAAGAAACAGAAGGGCCAAAAAATCGAAATTTTGCGACGGTCGAAACAATGTTTTAAAAATGTTTTTCCTCGATTAGGGTTGCAAACATAATGTGATTTGAAGTTATGGCTGTGAAAATTTTCTACTCATAACTAGAGTTTGCAGGATCTGGATCCCGGTCGGGATCAGGCAGGATTATCCCGGGTTTTTTGAATCCCGATTTTTCAGATCCCGAGACCGAAAGGTGAATCGCGATCCCGGTTTTGGATAATCCCGAGCCGGGATCCGGGATCGGGATGTGGATCAGATCCCGATGCAAATACCGATTTTATAAATTGACTAGAAGTCTATGAAAAAAGTTAGCAGAGAGGGGCAGGCTTGAAATAAGAAAAATTTTCGCATTCGGCGCAGAAAAGGGAAGAAATTTGGCTTCTTGACTTCCAAAATTCTCAAAATTTTTGCCTGCGGCGCAGTTGTTTTTAGTAAATACCGATCCCGATCTTTTAATCCCGATCCCGATTCGGGATCGGGATCTCCATTCCAAATCCCGATCCCGATTTCGGCCAATCCCGATCCCGTATCAGGATCCGAGATCGGGATCACCATTCCAAAATCTCGATCCCGGGTGTTTCGCTAAATCCCGATACCGGCCAAATCTACTCAAAACATAATTTCGTTAAAGAATAATTTAATCATGCTGATTTCAACGACATCAACATCATCGTGTTCATTCGTAAGAATTTTCAGTTACACATTCAATCCTTGAAGCATCTTAATTTTTCTTAAGATTCTCAAAAATGTAAACTCTGTTTTTAAATGTTAGATCAAGTTCAACTTAATTTTGTTCGTTTAGTTGAAAATTTGAAATAATGTAGATATCGCTTCACAAAAAAATTTGGGAAGTCTAAATTAAATAATGTGAAAGTGCCATAATCTAAATAATTTACTTTTTACATTCTAAACATTTTTTAAACATTTTGAATAAATTATCTTATGGATAAAGTTTTTAAAAAAATAAATATGTATACATGGTGCGGCAAAAGTTCCCGTACTTTTCTTAAGCATAAAATTTATAACAAATATTTTCTTAAATTTTATAAAATCTATAAAAAAGTGTTCATTACTATCTAAAGAAAAGAAAAATTATAATAAATGTCCAAATATATATTCCCTTCGCCAAGATATACGCGTTCAACCGCTAACTGAATTTGCCTACTATGGTCGCGCACTCATCCACAATAATTGAATCCCAGCCCAGTTGCAATCCCGTCTTTCACAACAGACGAAATCATGGGAATTGCTTTATAGAAAAGGCCTTGATTCTAAAATGGCTCAAAAGTGCCGCTTTACACCATCTGTAATCGTGTGGGCCGGAATTTGTGCCACTTGATCCCTAGGCACAAAAACAATGGATCCCTGGTCACAGCAACAGTGTGTTGGCCGGGGTTTTGTGCCATTGCATCCCTGGGCACAACAACACTTCGGTAAAACCAATTTTATGTTGCAGCAAAATTTGGCCCCTTCATACTGGGCTAAAACAATGATTGACCTTAGCGAAGGGTTGTTTTCAGGATTTTGGGGCAAAGACATTTGGCACTTTTGAGCCATTTTAGAATCAAGGCCTTTTCTATAAAGCAATTCCCATGATTTCGTCTGTTGTGAAAGACGGGATTGCAACTGGGCTGGGATTCAATTATTGTGGATGAGTGCGCGACCATAGTAGGCAAATTCAGTTATATATTCCGAAGGGAATATATATTTGGACATTTATTATAATTTTTCTTTTCTTTAGATAGTAATGAACACTTTTTCATAGATTTTATAAAATTTAAGAAAATATTTGTTACAAATTTTATGTTTAAGAAAAGTACGGGAACTTTTGCCGCACCCTGTAAATTTAAAATATAGGTATAAAAATCAAATAGAATTTGGAGTGCAAAAAATTTTTGGTTTATAAACAGTAATAGAGCTGTGCAAGATATTTTTTGTTCTTGAATTGGAGCTTTTTTGTTTTCTTACATTGTCATAATTCTTGAAAATTTTTAAATCTTAGACAGCTCTATATTTAGAATAGCGGGTTATGGTAAATTCGTCTGCTTTTAAAAAATTTGGTATTCTTGGATTATCACTAGAGTTTCACCGGAAGTTCCGGTTCTGGTTCCAGCAAGTTCCAGTGATTTTTGATTCCGGTTTCAGGAACCGTGACCCAAATTGGATCGGTTCGGGTCCGGTCAAAATTTTTGTTCCGGAGAAACATTAGTTATCACTCACATTTTTTATATCCCCATTTCCTTCTTTCTACAAAATAGTACTAAAAGACAATTAAAGGGCCAATAAAATTTTATGGCCCGGGGAAATTTTTTACTTGAAACATAATTTCGTTAAATATCTACATAAAGAATATTGTTTTAAAATACTTTTTATCTGCTCAATAAAAGAGTAAATCAGGGATGGGATTGATTTCGAAAAAGTTTTTGTTCATTTTAGAGAAGTGTAGGTCAAGAAGCAGAATTTCATAATAGTAAATTTACAATGGGGTTACACAAATTGGGGGCATCCAAACTAAATTAAAATTTAAAAATCTACAAAAAAAAGTTCAGAGTGAACGGCTCAGATTAACGTATTTTCTCTATTAGAATTCCATGACATTCTAATTTCAATCACCTTCCAAGGTGGCATTCAGATAGAGGGTGGCATTCTAATAGAGGAAATACGGTACATTGTTTTTACTACAATCGACAAATCGTTTTCTTCTCGCTCAAAGTAATTTAAAAAATAATCTTCTCTTCATTTTGTTTCTTCACTATAAATATCCAAAATTTCCTTCAAAATTTTATACATTTTTTAAAGACTTGACTAACGCCAGTCGATTTGATCGTCTTCAAAAATTTTTTAATTACTTTAGAATGTTCTTCCAATTCATTAGAGTAAAATTCTAATGGGTTATCAGTAGAAATTGTAGGAAAAGGTTCCTCATTTTCATCATTAATAGCTTTCTCAACAGTTTTGAGAAATTTGCCAATTTGCGTATAGGGTGAAGAATGGATTGCTTTGGCAATATTCTGTGCCTTTTTGGAATATTTCTTCAAATTCCTGAAAAAATATGAGGATTTTAGAGACCAATAAGGACACAAATAATGACATTGAGTCAAATATAGAGCTTTAGACAGCTCTAATCTTAACGAGATTTAATAAATAGGGATGGGATTTATATGGATTTCCATATTTTTTTCTTGGCCTTCTGGGTTCTGAAACGTCCAAAAAACATAGTTTTAGCATATATTTTGCACCAAAATTAACTTATTTAACATTTTCTGCTTAAAATGAAAATTTTTCTGTTAAAAATTGAAAATTTTTCTGTTAAAATCAGTTTTCGGCCCATATTTGATCCATATTTTGGATTTTAGTCCATATTTCAGTCCATATTTTGAGATTTTTAGTCCATATTATATGTCCATATTTTTCGATTGATTTTCCATATAAATCCCATCCCTAGTAATAAATTATGGCGGGAACTTGATCGAGAATTTGACCGAATTAACAGATATCTTGTTAAAAAATCAACGGAATAAATAAAGTATTAAACTAAAAAATAAACTTGCTTCCTCATTTCTTTAAATTTCCCTGAAAAATCCCTAAAAAAATCCTCATAATTCATTGTAATCCCAATTTGCATATATTTAGTGAGTGTAGCGTTAAAATATTGTTCTCCAAAAGATGGAATTACTAATAATGGAACTCCTGCATATAAAGCCTGTTAAATTAATAAGATTTTCAGACAATTGTATAGAGTTTGGGAATTTAGTAGTCTGACAATGCCTACCCCAATACAGGATATTTATTTTATTTTCGGCTACAAACAACTTCAAATCCTCAATAAAGGGCTCATCCGCTTAAGACGAATATTTTAACCTAACATGATATTAATTCTATCATATTAATTCTGTAAAAATGATAGCTTATTTGAACTGCAATTTTTAGAGCAACAAATAAAATAGCTTATTTGAATACAAAATTGCGCAAATTAAAAATTAGTTCTATACTTAGTGATGTTCGGGTTAAGAAAAAACCAGGGAAACAGGAGTCGGATCGGGATACCCGAACATCGATACTATACCTCATTGAAGCTCTTTTGACCACCATCAGTAATATAACAAACTACATTTGTATATGCTGAAATTTAAAATATGTATATAATTTTAATTATATAGTATAAGCAACTACAAGGTTGCCGTTCCAAACCCCTAAAATGGGACAAGATTTGGGCGATCAAAAATGGGACAAGAATAGGGCGAAATCATAAGAATAGGGCACAGAGTGTCGAATGAGTTTACTTAATTTTAATAAAATTACAAAGAATTTC